TAATAATGTTATAAAACATAATTGCTTTCATTTATTGATGCTACAAAATCTATATAAAAGTAAATAATGTAAAGACAAAAGTTTTATACATCTTCTTTTAAATAATTTATTTATCATAAATATGATATTTTCTATTACATAAGGTTAAAAAGATATATATATATATATATATATATATATATATATTAATTTGGAAATTTAAATTTTATGAAGATTATATTAAAAATTTACAGAAATAATAATAATAAATATATGCGAGGTACGTACGCGCGTGTATAATTGTTCTTTGCTGAAGTATTAAATATAATTGGTCTAGTTGAATTAAGGACTTTTAATCGATTCATTAATCAGAGGAGTAATCTTCAATACCAAATCATCGAAAATAGTTGAGTGGCAAGAGCGGTGAGGGAGAGAGAGAGAGAGACAGACAGAGGCGAGGCTAAAAGTGAGGCCGCCGCGCATCAGCGAGACAGATAATCGCTTCTAAAAGTATCTTGGGAGTCTCGTGGCTGGCAATGAAGCCCCAGCATCTGTGCACTTTTCGCAAATAGCCGCTCAAGAGCGCGGCGTCCTTGCCTCCGGATTGCTCACCTCCGGCGGCGCTTTTTCTCCTCGCGACTTTTGCTCTCGGTTCGCGCTTTCGCTCTCGGAGCCGACTTTTATTGCATCCGCCACCGCGAGGCTGCGCCGTTACGGCCCTCGCCCATTCAACTTTGCGCGTGCGCACTTTTTCATCTGCCGCACTTTTTTCAGCCTCTTTGCTCCTTCACCCCGAGGCCTCGGCCATTTCTCTTTATCTTGATTATTAGTCGACGTTCTTCCTTCTCGTTTTTGTTGTGGGCTCGCAGAGCGATTCCAACTAGATTCCAACTCGAACGAAACGAACGGCAACAATATATCTTTAATATTCCGTGGAGAATCTGTTTTTCTTTATTATAGAAATACTTTTTTCATGAACAAGGACGCTAATTGTCTTAATATTTCCAGCAGTTAAATCTATGTTCTCTCGTTTGTTCTTTTTTGGTTGATATTAATGTCGTTGCACTGTTTTTTTTTTTTTTTTTTCGTTTTTTTTTACTAATTAGTGTATATTATAACGTTATCATTCGTTCTTTCTATCTATAAGTAAGAGAGACAGAAATTTTTTTTTTTATTTTCATCATTGTTGAAGTGTACGGATTTTCACCAATTATAATATGATTAATTTAAATTTTTCTATATTCTTTAAATAGGTTAATATATAGTCAAACTATATTTGCGTGTAATGTATTAAAATATTTGTGAAATTAAAATTAAGTATGTATGGATTATATGACATTTATTTTTACAAGTATATCTATGACATCTTTCTTATCTATCAAATACATTATTAAACAGATTGCTCCATTTAGTTCACTGCCAATGCAAATATAATTTAAGATAATTTAAGGACATTTTATTTCATGACATTTAACTGCGAATTTGCTTTTTGTAAAAATAATGCCGAACTTACAAAGATTTAAAATTTTACATTGACATTATTACAGCTGTTAATGCTTTTGAATATGAATGTGTAGAGTTCTTTTTTCGTATTGTTAAATAAATATTAATATATTTTCCATGCATATTGTAGTAAATTAGGATTTACAACGATTTTATACAAATTATATCGAAACTGATAACATTGCATTTATGTTTAATTTTCAATATATTTATATGGCATAATTAATATTTTTTTATCCATTTTTAATTAAGAAAATTACACTAATAATAATAATTATGGACTTTATAAAATATAAGCACAAATGTAACGGTAAAATAATATTTGACTGTATGCTGGATAAAATTCAACAACTATTTAACTAAATTTCAGATTTATTGTAATTCGTTAAATTAATAATAATAATAATAACAATAACAATAACAACAACAACAATAACAATAACAATAATAATAATCGAGTATGTATGTATCTATGTAATGCAGAAATATTTTGTATATTTTGTATATTTTAGTTAATTTAAGAGTATATAGAAAATATTGTAAATTTAGCGAATTCTGACCTCACATATGTGTGTTTTTCATGTTAACATCTTGTATAACGAATGAATAAATACAATCGAAAGGCTTATAAATTTATATATATATATATATATATATATATATATATATATACTATGCTCGCGCGCGAGAACATTGAAGGAGATCTAAAATATATCTCAATGATAGATAAAAATCTACAATGAAGCTGCACTATCGGCAGTTACATTTTCAAATAAAATATCCTTTTTATAATCCGCCGTGCGTTGAGTTTTGCTCAGACTTTAAAATGTTTATAATAAATACATCCTATGAAATAAATATGCAGAAAATATTAAAATACCCTTACACGTAGACAATTTAAGAGCAACGAAAAATCACCGCATACTTACGCAACCATGGGAATATAGACTTAAGCTTTAAAAATATAACTGCACAATATTTTACATTATTTGGAAGATATTTTATTCACAAGGAGCTCGCTCGTTGATGCACGCATTCAAAATTGAGCACTCACTTAAGGGTTTAGTTAAATTTTCGCTTCGCCGCGTATATTACAAGTCGGGCCGATATCTTGTGAAAAAAAGCCTTAGATAAATCTCACGGCAGCAACCCGGAGGGGGTCTTGTCTGTCGGATAAAAACCATTATTTATATGAGTGTAACCGAAGCCCTTTTGCAATCGATAAATTTCACTCATGCGTGTCTGTGCGCGTGTATGCATTATTCACGGAAAGTGCGCATTTTTCGATTTGCCCGACGATATTCAAAAGATTCACATTTTTGCGGAGATCGATATTCGTCTTTTTGTCTCGTCTAGTTGCCGAGGAGGAAGAAAATGAAAAATGTTCTTATTACGCATTGCGTGTACTAAGTGGATGCTAACGAAACGGTCACTCGTCTCTTTCCTATATAAAACACCAATAGATCATAAATTTATTAGAGTCAAGTTTTATTGGAACACCTGCATGTTAAATACATTGCGGAAACTTTACTACTCCAACGATTTATACTATTTTATTATTTATGCATTTGACCGGTCGCGTAAATATTCCCATTCCCGGTACACGTATTATCGTCTTGTACAATGAATACTTCTGTGCCTCAGTAAAATATAAAACAAAATATTTGATTGGGCGTTGAATTCAAATTTGATGATATTTTTGAAAAGCCAAATAATAAAGATCGGGTAAAATTACTATTTAATTCATGCTCTATTGTATCATATAATTATTTTCATATAGTATGCGTTATGGTTGGTTTTGCCATATTGGCGCATCGGTTGGAGGAAGCCCCTTGGCTGAGGATCGACACCTGCACGAATCTCCGAGGTGTATCTTTGCTCCTTTGAGGACTGTCAGCCCCGAGACTCTGAAGCCGGTTTCCACCTTCCACATTCACTTCGTCCTGGACGCCCAGAGCTTCCCCGGAATCCCTCCTCCTCACCACTCCCGATTTCGGGATGCTGCTTCTCTTCTCTTTCGCCTCTCTTTCCTCCGATCAAAATCCTCCATCACTATCCTACTCTCTCTCTCTCTCTCTCTCTCTCTCTCTCTCTCTCTCTCTCTCTCTCTCTCTCTCTCTCTCTCTCTCTCTCTCTCTCTCTCTCTCTCTCTCTCTCTCTCTCTCTCTCTCTCTCTCTCTCTCTCACCCCCTCTCTCTCTCTCTTTAACCATCCCCGAATGTATTATTACACCATGTCTATTAATGCTCGTCCTTAATAATTAATTTTTCAATTAGCCCCATTATATCCCCATTATAGTAAATACTACTCACGTTTTTTAATGAAATATATCCCACACTCACAAGTTACACGAACAACTCTTTCTTTTTTCTTTCGACAAATTTTTAATTAATAAAGATTAATCTTAAAGCTTCCGATGTAATAAATAACTTATACAATATTTTCAATGATCAATAATTAATTATTTAACAATTAATCTTTTTTTTTAACTAGTAAAGTAATGACAGTCACGCGAAAACAAGAGAATACTTATGTTTATCATACAATACACGTCTCTTTCTAATCAATAAAAAGATTTACCAAGCTCAATAAAGGGGATGATAATTTATTTATTTCTAATATATCTCTGCCTGCGTGTGCTTGTGTCCGTCGTCTGTCAGTCTATAGTCTACTGTCATCGTGGTCATCGTCGTCCTATGTGTGCGTGTCTGTGCGACAGTATATATTTGACCATATATAGCAGTATATAACGTGGATGTATTTTTTAATTCTTTTTTCACGTGCATGGATAGTCAAATAATATGGAGTATACCAATATTATTTAATGTTAATTGTTATTATCAAATAACCTCATATATCAACTAAATTGTCAAATTGAAAAAACAAATGATTAGCTTATCTAATGTTTGTTTTACTTTTTTGCGGTTGACAGGTGCATTCTAAGGAATAACATATTAATAGAGAGATTTGCGTTGTTACATTACTAATTATTTGAATATATCATTACTATTATTATTATTAATATCATTTGTCATTTTCTGATTATAACTGCTATTATTACTATTGACTTTTACTTCTGTCATTATCTTAAAACAATTATTACTACTAATAATAATAACAATGACAACAGGATTGTTGATAGAAATAAAAATAATAATAACAATAATAATAATAATAATAATAATAACAACAACAACAACAACAACAACAACAACAACAACAACAACAACAAAAATAGAACCAAATAGCACATAACTAATATGCTTTGTATGCATTATTCAATACGATGCTCATATAAATTATTCTTATATTTACTATTAATTGTTGATGTAAATACAATTATAATTGTTCATATTATTCTATTTGAAGCCATTTGTTTCATGTGTAATTAATTACTTAGAAGCTACATTAGATTCCGCTATTATTGTAAACGACATTTCAAGATTATTGGAAAATTCTAAAGGTATATTTCTTAGAATGAGAATAGTCGAAAGCAAGTAAAAGTTGTTGCATTTAAAATCTTCCCAATCAATCACGTGTGTAGTATACAATTAAATAAAATTGTAATAAAGTTTTTGATAAATACAGTACATGAGAATAATCAAGTAAGTCCATCAAATGGTTCGCTTTTGCAATGGAACGATAAATCAGTTGCTACTTACAAACAAAAACTTATTCAGGTATATTTTTATAAAAATTAATAATATACTTTCGAGATTAATAAATCAATCGTTTCGATTATACTTATTGAAACTCAACCCATTCATTGATATAAAACTTAAATTTAAAAATAATAACAACATTTTACACTTTATATTGATTAATACAGATTTAATACTTGTTTATTAAAAAAAAAAAAAAAAAAAAAAAAAAAAAAAAAAAAAAAAAAAAAAGGGGCATTGGGGGGGAGGGGGGGGGGGCGAAAAAAGAAAGAAAAAACTTAAATTTTATTTCGCTTTAAAATGTAATTACGCACAAAATACAAGGGATGTCGAAACTTTGTAAATTAAATGATTAATCGACATAAAAATTGAATAAATTTAATTTCATGTATCACTTAATTTTAAGCAAAGTGTATTAATATTTAGTACGATGTCTTTATGATTTTACTTATAAAATAATGTTCAATTGATACATATTTTTATCTTATATCTATTTGTATTTCTTCACTAATATTGACATAGAGTCGTAAATATAAATTGAAACTGTATAAATCCTAATCGCTAAGACACAATTGAAAAATAATTATTATATCAGTGAAAGATTTATGTAAAAAAAAAAAAACTATTTCTATGTAAATATAGAAATCAAACGTGTATTCAATTAACGAGAATAAAATTGATAATCGAAAATTGAAATCCGTCGTATTTTATTAATATTGAATTTTAACATTTGCAATTCTTTAGTTTTTAGAAATTGTAGAATATCGTTAAAATTCATAGAAAATTTTTTATCTAAAGAAGCCGATAAATTCTAATCAACGAAGTGAAATTGTACTCGAACGAAGGTACTTGAATTTATTGTCTTATTAAATGGAATGCTGACTGACGAATGAACAATAATGACTTCGATAATGATCTTGGCTGTAAGATGACGCTCTTGAACTTTGACTTATTTTAGAGACATAAATGAAGAATGGACCAATATAGAATCAAACGTAGTTCGGGAGATCTGATTGGATTGATTAAGAGGAACGACGAGAAGGGTGTCGAGGCTCTGTTGCTTGAAGGAATTAATGTGAATGCCAGGGACAATGACGAGGTGGGTATGGTCGCACTTCACCACGCCATCTTCGCGAACAACGTGCAAATCCTGAAGCTCCTACTGGAGCACGGCGCGTACCCGGACGATGCTACCTACGGCGGCATACGTCCGTTCGACGTGGCCTTCGCCCTGACGAGGGTCGAGCACCTACATCTTCTTATCCATCACGGGGCTCGCGTCAATATCAAGCTTTTCGAGCTCTATCGTTGTAATAAGCTGCCGCGCAAGTTTGGCCAACTATTTTACACTCACGTGGAATTAAGGGATCGCGACAAGCACGGCTGCAGCATATTGCACAAGGTCGTGAAGTACGGGGACGTAGAAGGGTTAAAGACAATTCTGAGGAGAGGCGCTGCCGTGGACGAGCGGACATTAAACGATGGAATGACGTCGTTGCACATCGCAGCGAGAAATGGTCACCAGCTCTGCATTGAGATACTGTTAGGACAAGGGGCGAAACCTAACCTCAAAGACGAGTTCGGCTTCACAGCCTTGCATCTCCTCATGATCGCGTCGATTCCCGAAGTCGACAAGGTGAAAGCACTCGATACGCTGCTCGACTTCGGCTGTGATATGAATTTGACGTGCAACCGTAAAAAAACTGCCCTCCACTACGCCTTCAAGCACCGTAGCGTCGACTCGTGCATAAATCTCATGAAACATATAGCCAAGATTCATCATAATCAAGATTCTATTAGCAATTATAATATGCAGTTCATTACGAGTAACGAGAGATTGAGCACTTATTATGTTAGTTGTCTCGATGAGTTGGATAAAATTAAGGTCGAAAGAATGTCTCCCAAGATCACGTTGTACCAACTTCTAATGTACAATATTCGTGAATTATTGCAGTACACGCGAGCGTTCAATGATTACAAATGCTTCAAAAGTCAAAGATATAATAATCGTTATCCCATTTATTACGAGAACCTGGAGAGAAAATTTCATTCGCTCGTGGAAAATCGAAAATTATTGGATAGTGCATCTATGGGCTTGTGCATACTAATCAAGAGAATTGACTCAAACAGTATTATTACCCAAAAGATTCTTGGATTCTTAAAGACGGAGGATTTGAAAAGTTTAGCATTAATTTGCGAATGGAATAGAGCGCGAAAGTAAATTACCAATATAGCTAGCTGCACGAGATGTTTTAACTCGATACATTATTAAATATAAATGTATATTGATTTTCAGCGTAATTACAAATGAAAGGTATTTTTTATGATCCGACAGATTAGTTAATGTTATTATTCATATTTGCTTATGATTGTAAAATAAGCCTTATGTAAGTATTTTCATTGTATAATGCGATGTATCAATGGCTTATGACGTTCGGCAAACATCTATGCTAATATTCTTAACAAAATATTAAAGCAATTTTAATTCGTTGGTTTTTTTTGTCCAGCTGAAACTTAATTACAATTTTAACATTAGTAAATTTATATTTAGAAAAGATGGCATTGCTTTTAATCTTATTATGATTTTACTTGGTAGGACAAATTTTAAATAATACGACAAAAGATCTTCTTGAAATAAGCCATACTGATTTGTAAAGATTCGAATTTTCCATTTAATTTTTATAAACTCAACTGTCCACCTAATTGTATTGTCTACAATGAATAAAAATTTTACTCTACATTATATTCAATTTTGATTTCTTCATTGGAGTTTCGTTTTATTAAAGACATTTTATTAACTTTATTATTTCTATTTATTATGAACAAAATAAAATGTCCATCTAACATTTACATACAATTCTTTATTAATATTTCAATTATATTCTATTATCTTATCAAAATACATTTCAATTATTTATTCGCCTTGTTCAAACAATTATCATTAATTATTTATATTCTATTATATTACGTATGGTATATGTCAAAAATACGTAGTTTGCTTCCCGGGTTTAATATTTTCGTATTTCAAACATTATCTCTTATACGTTTTACATATAATTTTCTATAAAGGATAAATATTGCGCGATAAATATTTGGGCGCTTGGGCGCCTTCAATTATCTCATGTAATATTTTTGAAAATAATATTATTCTTCGAATGAACGCCACTGTGGCTTGAAAATATTATATTTTATAGCTTTACATGACACAATTTATTTACAAACGAAATTATATACAACAATTATGTTATCTAATCACATGCATGATTAGAAAATAGAAATTTCTATTTTTGAAAAATCAATTCTTAAATATATACGTTTAAAATTTTATGTGCAAATTAAAAAAAGTGAATTAAATAGCGTAAATGTACATACGTGTAATGAAAATTTTCATTAGTCCATCGATTCCATTGTTTATTGTTTCCATTTCATAAAATACTATCTAATATTTTCACATTTCACGCAATTAAATCGATGTATTTGTATTACTTTAAAAAATCAATTCATAATACTTTTGCAATTTTTATGGTCGTACTAATAGATTTTTATTTACCAATCGATGTGTATTCTTAATTTTGGATCATCAGCTCAGTATTAACACAAGCGTTGGCAATGATAAAGAATTGCTCCGGCCAATTACATGAGCAAAAATATTATAACCATAATTTGAATTTTTAGCACTTAATGTTTAGTAGGTATAAAATAGCACAAGAATTCGCAAATGAATTACAGATAATACGATCTTTAAATAAAACTTTTTGATTTTTAATTATAATTTTTAATTCATTAATCGAATGACGCATTATAAATCTATAGTATCGAAGTAAATTTTAATTAAAATAATAATCGTTTACAAATATTTCAAGTATATGTTTAAATCTGTATTTTCTTTATTATAGGCATAAAAATTTTTCAAATAAATGCTTGGTTTAATGATCGGAATAACTAAAATTTTATTTTTTACATACATCATATTTCGTTACATTACTTTTGCGTAATATCTAACTAGTTTTTTTATTCTTTTACATTTCTTTATTCTTTTTTTTTTTTTTTTTTTTTTTTTTTTTTTTTTTTTTTTTTTTTTTTTTATTTTTTCACGCAATAACGATGAAAAAGCTATTTGCATAATTAGATGAGATTATATACCTATGAGTTATATTATAACTTTCCGCTAGTGGTGAACGCAAGTGTATAGTTATGATCCGAGAACTGCTTTCGTGCTCAACTACGTTACTTCACGACCAACTGGAGCGTAACTTTGAAAACATCCTCCTCTCTTTACTAAGTAAGAAAGATCAGGATCTAATCAGCCATCTCGTTACTCGCCATTCTCCCTTCTAATCACCTATCTTTTATCGAGCCAATACTTTGAGCTCAGCACATCGCATCGTTTGCTATGCCATATTAGTCCTTTTCATACGCATATGAATCGTCCCTTACCACTCCTTCATCACTTTTAAATGGATGGGAATTAGAAAGAATTTTTCGTATCCTTTCGTCGTGCATTTTCTTATTTATATATATATATATATATATATATATATATATATGTATGTATAAGCATACTCCTTATTTTTAGAGAAAAAAAAATCGCAAGATTCTAAAAGATTCAATACATACTGTATATATTCAAAAACTTTATTTGAAATTGTCTGCAGATATTTTTACAAATGCAATTTTCAATCTTTATGTATTTTTATTTTCATTATTCTATATGGCCAATTATAAAGAACGATAAGAACGGAGACTAATTTTGAAATAAGTATAACGAAAATATATTTTCATCTAAGTTTTTAATCGATATTACAACTAATATTTATCTCACTGACAAAATTAAAAATTTTGAATTCAACTTATTTGAAAAATCATACGAAGTTATCATATTTTTGTTATTTGAATGGAAAAAAACAACTTTTTTATAACATATATTTGTTTAAAATATTTATTTTCTAAATGTACAATTTAAAGGGGCTACAATTTGTTTCCCAATTTTATTTACAGTGCTAAATGCCATTTACAAAATAAATATTATTAATTTGAATACTCTTTTAATGTTTCTTGAAATACTACGGGGTAAGAGAAAAGAAGAGAAATAGTTTAAAAAGTGACCTTGACTATATTTACTGCTTTAGCTACAAAAATAGTTATCCCTCATAGTCTTCCATAGTATACATTTACGTCGATAGTTGTATAGTTATTAATATCGTCAATGGAAAATTTTTAGCTATAAGTATACAATGAAAAATTATATTTAATACATAATCAAGATAAATATGCTTACATATAATTATTTCTTCTTTTTGAAAATTAATTACCTTATTTTGATATTATAATATATTAAATATTAATAATAAAGAGCAAAATGTGAAAAAAAATAATAAATTAATTAAAATGATCTTGTAATTAAATGTTTGATTTAATGATTTCCTTATATTTTTTCTAAATGTCACAATCTATTCATATATATATATATATATATATATATATATATATATATATAATTACATTAAGATTTATTTTTATATATATATTTTAAATTAAGGTATTGTACTTACTTTATATAAATAAGTAATGAAACTTGGTCTTATTAGTCATTAGTCATCTTGGTTAATTGTATAATAACAATATAATGTGTATTAAAAATTATTATAAAAATTCAATTCAATATTTATAATTTCATTTATCATTTATTTCATTTATTATTTGAGTGCACTTGTTAGCACATCACAGGCTAATAAATAACTAATTTTTAAAGATTATTTATTTATTTTTTTTTTAATATTATTATTTTATCGTAATAATGTTATATAATCAAAAATTGAAAAACAATTTTAGAGTTCACAAAGAACTGGTATTCACAGCGATGGTTGTCGGTTTCTACCAAGAGCTGAAATACTCCGACGAAGACGTACAGCTGGAATTTTAAAGCCGCACTCAGCTGGCGTATCAACTTTTTCGGATATGTTGGAGTGGTCGGTTGTTTGCTCTCACGCTACCGAAGATCTTTTATCAATGTCATTTTTGCTGAAACATCTCCTTTTCACATCAACGAAGATTTACTTCGTTTCAAGCATGCTTTTCTTACCTACAATATGCGCCCATTAAACAAGAATATCGACAACGCTAATGATAAATACGATATATAAGAATATTAAGGAAAATATATTAAACAGAATTTATATTAATTTAAAAAATGGTTAAAAGAGTCCAAGTTTTGATATATGTATATATATATATATATATAATAATTATTTCTTCTCGATCCATTTAAATTGCGTTAAAATATCACTTTATGAAATACTCACTTTATACAATAATTTTATAGTAATTTTTTGTAACGATAAAGTGTATTAAAAAAATTAGCCTTTGCTAATACAAAAAATAAATAAATAAATAAAATGTGATTAATGTTTATACGCAGCAAACAGACAGCAAATGTTCCTTTATGCGGAAATCCTTTTTTATTTTTAAATTTATCATAAATTCTTTGAATTTTCAGTTTGTTTATAAAAAAAAAAAAAAAAATGGCAAGAAAGAATTTTATAAACATATTCATAACTTAGTTGAAACTTGTGGAAATAAAGTTAATTCAATTTAAAAAAAAAATAATGATGAAATAAAATAGAGACTAGTGTAAATATTATAAAATATGAATTTTGCAAATATATATAAAAATATATGAAATATATGAACTATAAATACTGTTTTTTATTTTAGTTTTTGTATTTTGTTTTTATTTGAAATAAATAATTAAATAATTGAACAATAATTTTTTGTTATAAGTATATTAATTACTATAATATAATCTCCCTAAATGTTATTACTTTAAATTTATAGCTTCATCAAGATATATTTTAAATAAAAATTCATTGCTTAATATTTTCATTGCTTAAATTTGTCAAACTTTGAATTTATTATGTTGGCATTGTTTAATAAGAATTGATATGATGTTTAATAAATTCGTAATATTTTAGTTTTTACAATTTTTTTTTAATTTTATAACGCCCGCGCAGGTGCACATATACACGTACAAAAAAGTATACGCAGATAAATAAAAGTATCATTTCATTCCTAATATTACTATTCTATAAATGAAAAATATCAAACGTATAAAGTCTTTCGAAATGCAATTAAAAATATATTTTAAACAGTATTTTGAAGAATATTTTTTTTTATTATTATAAGACAAAATTTTTAATGATCAATTACAATATATTCTTTTAACAATAATTTATTATATAAATGTAATATGCAATGTTGCCGATTTAGACTCGATACAGTTCAATACTTTACATCTCTAATATATACATTACTGTAAAAGACCTAAAATAATGTAAACAATTGATTATTATGCTTATTATTTATTCATTTATTAATTCATTACTTTTGAAATATTTTTAGCACACTAATAAATTATGTTATCATTAATAGATTTGTCAATTTATAAATATCTTTTATATAAATATTTATGGCAAGTGACTCATTTTAGTTATAAAGCAATTTAAATATTATTTTATTATAATGATATCTAAGCAACTGCTTCAAACTACGAGTTTTTAATGTTTGGAACTTATGTATAAAAATAAGAAATCAAAAAATAATTGGCATATTACAATATCTTCTATGACTTATTTTTGATGATATTTTAAATCCTTTTATTAAATGAGCATACAAAATTAGCAATTTGATTTTTGATATGTGAAATACATTTTGGTTTTTAATGAAATAATATTAAACAAATCATATAAATTGCTTAAGATTTTAAATCATGAGCTCTATCGGCTTAAAATAAATACGTGTATATAAAAGTTTTTTAAGCCACTGTAAAACTACTTTAAAAAGTATAATTATTTAATGCTTAAAAAAAGCGTTTTAAAAATCACAATAAAATATGAATATTTTTTTTTACTCCCTTTATTTGAAACTAGTCAAACATATCTACAGAACTTATAAAAATATTTAAATGTATAAAAAGTTATTTGCCTAAAAAAAAGCATTAAAATCTTCTATTCTTTTATGATTATATTCTTTGCTCAAAGAATATATCTTCTCGGAAAATTAGTCATTGTTATAAGTTTTTTACAAGAGATATTTAAATTTTATATTTACATACGGTCGACATCTGAATCGTGAGAAAGCACATATTACCATGTAAATGCTTCCAATTAGGCACTAAAAGAGTAAATTAAGAAAAGCTGTCAACGAATCTCTCGGGCAACGGCATCAAGTATCCTTTGAAAACTCTGAGGCTCGAAACCAAGAAACGGACGATCACGTGGTTGTTCAGCTCGATTGACAAATCGTCGTCTTCGCTTCAGTAGAAAATCATCGTAATCTTCGGTAATCTGTGGATTCACTTTAGCATAATACAAAGCTGCGAATCCACTGTAGATGAGTAGTGCTGCGGTAGAAAGCTATTAAAAAAATTAGATAAATAATTAATAAGTAATTAAACTTTAAAGAATTAATTTGCAAATGTTTTGTTTTTTAATCATGTTCAATATATATATATATATATATATATATATATATATATATATGATTATATAAAAAAAAAAAAAAAAAAAAAAAAAAACGAACCTCGATCTCCGATAACAATAACATAGAATTAAAAATTGTAAGTACATAATCTTAAAATTCGATGGTCAATAGGATTATAATAATTAACACTCATACAAAAAAATAAATATTAAAAGTCCAGTTTACATTTAATGCTACATTTTACTAATTAATTAAATATCAAATAAACCGTTGAATAAAATATTGATATAATATTTAAATCATGTATATCGTTATGGTATCAAATTATACAATTATTAAATAGTAAGTGATGTATTTTTAATTATGAATTATACATTTAATTATTTATTTTAAATAATTTCTTTTAAATCATTGATAATCGTATGACGTAATAATGTATAAAAAATATGCAAGAATTAGAAATTGTACAAGTATATTGAAGTAATAATGAATTGAATTTGGAAACAAATTCATATTGTCGGAACGTTAAAAGTATAGAGTACGTTGGCAATTTTAATGAGAATACCAAAATTTACGAGCTACGCAAAACCATTGTTATGAAGATGGGAGACGAAAGTATTTCTTTGGCTCTGTACATGAATTAAATTTGCTTAAGGCCTTTTTCGTTGCGTGTAGTCACGTATTTTGACATACTTTAATTTGAAAAATTTTTATGACTTAGTTAACAATGAAAAACTTTTTAAATTCCTTTCTTTCTTAAATTATGTCCGAGTGAATAAAAATATAATTTTTTTCAAATATTATGTGCTGTGAAATAATATTCAAACGCGTAACAAATACACGCATCATAAGCAACATTAATAAATTATTTATTTAAAAAATTGTGCAATTTTATTTTATGCAATTTTATTAAATTGAATTTAAGCATTATTAATAGTACGAGGCATTGAAAACTCCTTGGAATTCCTACGTTGAACAATTTCACGTTAAGCTAAGCAAATTTAATATTTAAAATTTACTCTAAATACGTGTATCTTGTAATACCGTTATATTAACGTTGAAAAATTCAACTTTTATTTGTCTTTTTGAAAATACTATTGAGACTGAGATAAAAAAGCGATTATGGGAAAGTTAATTCAACTGGCTTTATCGATAATAGAAATCAAAATAATTCTACATTATCGATTATTAACTATAATGAGAAGTGTTTTTAATATACTTGGAAATACCCATGGATATAACTGATGTTTTTGTGGTACATATTATAGCATTCATTTTTATAAATTAACTTTATATTGGTCTTAAATAAAAAAGAAAAATTTAATGAAACTATTAGCCAGTGAAACGTGATTTTTATATCACAAGCAGTCAAACGATTATATCATTACAGATTTTCATATCGTTTAATTTCTATTTTCATTATTTACTTGAAGAAAACAATGAATCTGTCACAAAAATATTAATTAATTTCTCCAAATATTATATGGCTAAATTATAGTTTACAAATAATAACGATGCCATAAAATATATCTGTGGATGAAAATTATATAAATTTATTTTTCAAAAATTCTCGTGAGTAAATAAATTTTTATCAATGACATTCAAAATAAAGCTGTAAAGTCTAGATTAATTATTGTAGCTAGGATTTAGTCTATTTGGGTAGATGGAAAAAATTATTTCGCTTTTCATATTCATTGTATATGATTAGCGTTTGATATATCATCAAAAGTTATACATTTGATATGCTTAAGAGACATAATCCTATTGACACACTAAATCCCTCTTTTTTTTTGTCACTGAAATTTTTCTGTTGTTCATTTCTATTGATTATCTTATTGAAATGGATTCGGGATGTCATGGGCTCTGTAGTACATATAAATCGTATAAAAAAAAACAAAAACAAAAAAAAAAAAAAAAAAAACCAGTGATCGTAAATCATAATGAGAATGTAATTTCATAATGCAAACAAGCGCATTTTCAATATTTTATATAATTTATAGTTAATTTTCTAAATGTTAACATAAAAGAGTATATTATAGTCGGATAAATTATCATAAATTATTTGAACTTTTTTTTTTAATAATAATCTTAACCAAATAATAATAATCACTGTAACAACTAAATGTAATAACTAATGTAATAACTAATAATCATAACCAAAGCCTAATAATACGAATTATAAGAAGTATAAAGTAAATTTTTTTGAAAATAATTTAATAAAATTATAATTATATATGGTAAATAGAATTATTTAAGCAAATTAATTATAACATGTATCATTATAACACGACTTTTTTATTATTATTATTAATTTTTACCAAAAGAAGACACATAAATTTGAAATCTCAAGTACAAATATATTAATATTTTAATCAACGATCATCAAAAAATAATTTAAGCAATTAAGAAAGTTCTTCCATATAATATTTAGGATAATACCTCTTCGATTAAAATATCAATGCACGCATTAATTAATAGCTAATCAATTCAAGAACAATATTAATCGCGTATCTATAACCACTTTAAGAAATTTTCTTTCGACATCACACTGCATCCTTGTTTCAGCCAACAAATTCTAATTATCGATGAAAGATGAAATTATTTATTGGCATTGGCATGAATTTTGCATACCAATATTCCAATTTCTATAATCGAATCTTCATATTGTTACACGAAGGATGTAACTTAAATACTAAATAAAATAAAATAAAAAATTTTTCGTCCTTTTTTTTTTTTTTTTTTTTTTTTTTTTTTTTTTTAATTTCAAAATATTTTATACATAAAAATACCAATATATTTCATGTGGCTATGAATTATTACTATAATAATTACTATAAAAGATTAACGTACTTGGAATATTGCCCAAAATTTGTAGCTACCCTCGTTTATAAGAAAATCGTAATAGCCACCCCAGTAATCATTTTTAGGCTGACTCATGGCTTTTATATCGCCGATGTCATCGGAACGCTCAACCACATCATCATTCTCGTTCGGATCGTCCTGCATCATCCGTGCATCTGCCGAAACGTAGCCTTCGCGCTCATGCCATCTAAAGCGATTGCATACAGTACAGTCGGGACATCAACTCTCTATCAACAGCCTATCAACTCTTTTAATTATAGAGAAATTATCCAAATATCTTTGCGATCTAAAGTTAATTGTAACGTTTGCGAAATTCAGATTTATTTACCACAATGCTTTAATTAATATAATTAAATGTTTATTATTATTTCGATTAAAATTATATGTCATTCTGAACGATTGAAGAAAATTTACTAGAATTTTAATTTACTAGAATTAATAAAAAAGAGAGAGAGAGAGCAGAAAATAATTCATTGAACATTGAAGATGAATATAAACATACTATATTGCACTCTCACTTGTTAAGGAATGATCGAATTCATTGTAAAATTAATTGAAATTTATTTATTTTTAAATAAAAATATAAATATTACCTATGTGACTGGTCGGTAGTGGCTAAAGCAGTAGCTTCTGTCGTAATTATTCGTGTATTATTATTCGTAGATATCAGCTGCTCAATCAATTTAGGCTGATCAAATGTGAAGGAACGTCGAGTGCAGATTGATAAAATAAATATTCTACACCAAAATTCCGTTTCCATCTTCCAATATTGCTACGATTATCCACGAATATAATTATTATCTGATTCTCGACGTATTTAATTCATTTCTTTTTTTAATCTGTTACTTCTACTTTCGTCGTCCAGCCAATATTTGTAATAAGGATTATCGAATGACGATTTTTGACCTCGTAAATCTCTGGACTTTATGGATAATCGTATAATTGTGTCATTTGCAATTTATTGATGCATCGATGATAAAAGTTCCTCGTCGCGGTCGAACCAACGTTTGACTGATACCGATTCTGACTCTCACGAAGCAAGAACTTGTACCAGTAGCTGCTGCTGTATATTTCGTAACTGTATCAAGAAGAACGTTAAGTAAATTTTAAACTTCGATGGTGCTAAATGTTCTAATTATTACTGATTTGAAGCTGAAATAACATATAAGCAATAGCTGATTTATAGCTGCTCATTTACAGTAAAATGTTCTACTACGCTGAGTTGCACTTCATATTTACAGGATATGAGCACATTAGAAAGAAAATAAAACGGTAAAACATGTATCAACAAATTTATTACAACATAATATGTTGTACATTCATAATACTAAAAATATATTTGATCGAATTCTTCAATTTAAATTTATTTGATTTAAGTAAGTGAAATTCTCTAATATTAATTATACATATATATATATATATATATATATTTTTTTTTCTTTTTTTTTCGATGTAATTTAATCAAAAGACTAAGTAATAATAAATATATTTTATTAAAGTATGATAATCTACTGATGAAATCGTATCATACAAATAGAACAGAGAAATATTATAGTCTATCTTACTTACAAAATAATAAAATCATAAAATTATTAAATAGCTTTAATAATAATAATAATAATAACAACAACAACAACAACAACAACAATAATAATAATAATACTCATAGTACAGCGACATCTTTACAATTTGATTTCATGGAATTGTACTTTCTTATTCTTACTCTACACAGAGAATACATTAGAAATGACGATATGCATATATTTTACTGTTATATTTTAATCTGCATTAATTATTAATTAATTCTTTAAGTCTTTTTACATATATAAAGAAAGTTTTAATAAAGACTAGCCTCTGTTATATATCGTGTGTGTATATATATATATATATATATATATATATATATATTTGATGGAAGAAAAATTAAAAATATAACTTCGCAATTTAACAAAAGTAAGGAAATCTTAAATAGAGAAAAATAAAAAGTAGCATAGGTGTAGAATTTTTTAAGGAATTCTACTGTATTTGTAAAAATGTTTAAATAATTACATTGGAAACTGATTTAATAACACACGTTAAAGTATGAACCAGATGAAATAATTATTACGACTAAATGTAAATGTACATATTTGTTTTTCCCTTGTTTTTCCGAGTCTGAGTTCTTACGTTACTTTTGCTTATGTGGCATTTGGATAATTAGCAGCTTATAACAAGGTACCGTTAAAACAATAATCTAATCAACGAAGCGTTAACTATCGGAGACCTGTGAAATTTTTCTACTCGTCGATCGTAATGAAGTAGATGCACGAACGTGTCATAAAACATTTCTCTAAGAACTGATCAGTGAGAGTCTCCCGATGAACTTTCTATCACAAATATCGTGCATTGTATTGTCAAGGATGCATACTTATCTGGATTATTGACTTATCTCGATCATATAGAAATTCAAATTAAAAGTATGTCCCTTTAAAATTCAAATCAATTATCCTACTTTTATAATTATATTTCGAATCGATCTATTTACGTTGGGGGACATATTTTTTCTTATTTTAAAATAGTCTTTTTGAAATTTCAATTCAATTTAAATCCCATTCAAGCTAATTAATTTAAGCATTTATCGTTTAAGCTAATTTTAATGTATAATTTTTGTAAAGTTATTCATTCAGGTGATTTACTGAAAATCATTTATTCCTGTTTTATTTGCAATATTTAATTCAATTATCATATAACTATACCATATGATGTTAATATGTCAGATATTTTTAAAAGGTAAAATAATTCTTAGTTGTAATAATATATTGTCACGACATAAAATGAAATGTTATATTGAAAGTTATACATATTGTGAAATTGCTAATCATAAACTTCGATAATACAAAATTGAACTAAAAGTATACTAGAAGAATTAATTAAATTCAATATAAATAGATACAGAATTTTAATAAAATAATAAAAAGACACACAGTAGGATTCTAATGTTCTACTAAAATCTATAAGCAATTATTATATTAAGAAAAATCTTGAAATTACATGATTTAATACATAATTTTTTATATGATAATCGTCTTATATAAACTATATAATAATCTATAAGTAATATTCGTATATTAAATAACTGTTACCACTTTACATATGTTGTTTTTATTCATTAATTATACTAAAAGATAAAGAAATTCTATTTTGAAAAATAGGATTCTTTGAGTTTCTTTTTAATTGCGTGATCATTTAACATAATTAATTACAAATAATTTATTTCTATCAGTTTCGTTCAGCTTAATCAGTTTTAGTAAGAAATTTAGCCTTTAGCATTTAGAATTATTAAAGAATTTTGGTATAAATATCGGTTGCATTTTTTTTTTTTTTTTTTTTTTTTTTTTTTTTTTTTTTTTAGAAGAATTTTATTTTTTAGAATTATGTATAATATTTTTAAAATATTATTTTCCTAATGTTAAAGAATTTCATAAAGCTAATAAATATAATAATTAATATAGTATAAACATAAATTATTATAACGTATAATATTATATTCGTGCGTGCTTTCATGATTAATGAACTGAACATAATTTCAATAATTTATTGCTCAAACCGATGACAAAATATATTGATTTAAATATTTATTATTTTAATGCATATAAATAAACGAAGTAATTCTTAATATAAAAATACTGCATTTTAATTTATACAATAGTTATTATTCTTAAGTGGAATATTATATATGATATATGTAAAATGCTATAAATGCTTATTTAAATTTAATTGTCCCATAAAGATTATGAAACAGTAAATTATTATCGTTCTCTTACGTGAATTTTGCTAATTCAATTTATTTTTAGAATATAATTTAATATGAGAATAAGCAGAAATAAAGGAATGTAAAAATTTAAATGATGGTCCTCGAAGTTCATTATTTGAGGTGTAAATAGTCAGATTTTTGAAGCATCTTAAAAACATGTGAAGTTAATGACGCGAAAAAGTCTCAAGCACATTTCACGACACTTTCCCATATTTTTCAATGCTCTCTAAAACTTTAGTGACATAATTCATCCACACTGGACTATTTTGATTCGACCAATTGGCACTTCTCGCATTATCACCAGCAGCAGCGATATTTGTAGGAAAATTAATCCTATGCCTGGCAACACTTTTTAGTACCAAAGCAGCAACATAAATAATGAAATATATACTGAAGTATAGTGGAATATACCACAACTTCTTTCCGATATAATAATAAGAATAAGGTCTCTTATTGACACGTTGGTCCATTATTTCCGGCTCTTGGGTACTGGAAACTGGATAATTATGCTGATGATGAAAATAGTGATCATCGGAAATGTGATCGTAGACAACTTGATCGTCGTAGGGGTGTTCAACGTAAGTTGGGATATCTTCATAAGGATGATCGTAGTGTTTGAGAAATTTAACAGATTTTGGTGGATGATCAAAATCGAAATTCGGCAATTTATGGTATTCCGATTGGTCAGTTGAGGAGGGATTATTATTCGTTCCGGAAAAATATGTATCTGAAAACTAAATTATTCGATAAATCATTACGAAATTTTTAATATAATATGCATTTTATAATACAGTAAGTATAAAGCATTTAATCGAAATAATAATACCTATAAAATTATTAATATACTTGATTTCATATACATAACGTATGAATATTATATGTATTATACATAAAATCATAACGAATGAATAGAATTATTATTTTTTCAATCTTCGTAAAATTAATGAAATTAGTTAAATGGATTAATGTTAAATTCAAACTTTGACTCTCAAATCAAAAAAAAAATAAAAACAAACAAAAACAAAAAAAAAAACAAAAAGTAAGAAACAAAGAAACAACAACAACAAAAAGTAAATAAAGAAACCAAAACTATAATTTTAAAATACCTTTGGCGGCGATTGCATCGAAAACGCATTCGTGGATCCTAATGGTTTATTTGCCACGAGTTTAAGCTTAGTATTGATGTTTGATGGATAATCGTACGTCATAGAGACAACGGGTTTTTGATAAATAACATTGTCGTTTGATGAAGTATTGATCAACTCTGAGCTTGCACTTTGTTGTCTTAAACTATTCGAGTGAGCTAACGTATGTTCGAAACTCGCCGGGGGGTGAAATCTCTTCTGAGGTCTGTTCCTGCCCTCTAGGCCTTCTAGCTTGGCTAATAGCTCTTCGTCTATCGTCGAATACCTGACAACGTGCCAAAGTATAAGCAAATAATATGACAAATGATTTTTTACAATTTGGTTACATTGACAGTACGAGTGTAAATAATGCTTAGATGAAATATTTTAGTTATATTGTTCTGTGTATATGCAAAATTGATTTCTTTCAAACGTCTTCCCATTAATACTGTTAAGTATGAAAAATAGCCGAGAAAATTTATCTTAATGTATCTACATTTTGACCATATATAACATATATATAACAATTACTTATACTCTCGTCAATTATTATTGCGGCAGTATGATAAACAAATCTACGTGATTTGCCGATTAATGATTATCAACGACAGCCATAATATAGTACATAAAAATATGGTCGTTTAGCGGTAGTAAAAATGAATGAAATGTTTAATCAAATTAAAATTTCGAATTTAATGGAGTAAATTTCTAAGGAACTCCTAAGATCCGGGCGAAGTTCCGAATATCTTACGAGTTTCTCATTTCGAGCACTTGTATAACAAATGACAATGTTCTAAACTCACTTGGACGTCGATGGATGATTAATAACTTCTCCGGATTTCAGATCGATACTCGCTGGTGTGTCAGCATAAACTGGCGACACAGTGAAAACGATATCCTCGATGCTTCCCCGGGCTTGGCCGTTCTTCGACACCCTGGAGTAAGCTGCGACGTACGCCGACATAAAAAGTCCACCGTAAATCAACACTATCGCAAGTACTTTTCTCATCTCGCCGTTTTAGCTGAATGGGCTTTTCCGCTTTAGGCTGTGCCTCAAAGTAATATCGACATAAAGTTATGACGATCTTTTCGTCCGTAGAGTTGTGCGAGTAGGTCAGGGGCGAAATGGCCGATGTATGAGAAGGTTAGCTTACCTATATAGACTCGTTTAACTGTAACTTACACGGTTCTTACCATGTCTTCTTGATAATTAGCACAGTAAATTGTAACGGAGTGGTCCAGAATGTATGGGCATTCGAGGTGTTAAAGTATTAACAAACTCCAACACTCGGTAATGAATTATCAAATATCCGTAATATTCTCATGCAAGTTCATGTTGCATTTTAGACTTCCCATTTCCTTCCATACTTTCTACAAGCTTTTGCGAGCTTCGAATATTCAACTTGACACATTCAAATACATATTCCACATAATGCAAGTCTAATTTACGGGCATTAAGTAAATTATTTTATTACAAATAATGTATTATTTTACGCGTGATTATTCTTCTGTTTCTACACTTATTACTTTATTTATTTGTTTTAATTTGAATGAGAAGTCTTTATTATAAAAACTATTTGCAATGTTTATTAATATAAAAATAAGTAAGACATTATTATAAGGTTCTATAATAAATATTAGTTGACAAATACAGAATTTTATTGTACAATTTTGGTTTTCCTTATTAAATATTCGGACATTGAAAATTTTATTTAATTGCAAAATTAGTTAAAACATCCGAATTACAATTTATAATTTTTTTATAGAATATAAATTTTAAAATTATCAAAAAAATTTATGAAAAAAACTATGACAAACATATAGTTTAAACATATATACATATATACAGATACATATATTATATATATATATATATATATATATATATTAAAAGCAACTATATTAAAATTATTGTTATGTTATGATACTTGTTACATTTGAAGGCGATAGTGTAATTTATTTATAATTTATACGATCCTTGTAAAGGAATATTAATTTAAATAACAAATAATCAAATAAAAATATATATATAGGCCTTAATATTAATCAATTAATTCAATCGATGACACTTTAGTAAATAAAAAAAAGTAAAAAAAAATATATATCACGTGATGATTCTGCCTTGAATTGTCCTTTTTTTCTTATTTCTGCCCCTTCAAAAATACATAAATATTCATATTATAAAGTAAGTTATCATTATCTATTTAATACTAAATTTCCGCATATACCTAGCAGTAATGCAATAAAGCCTAAAATATTTAATTATGCATTTTATTTATGCAATTGTATTTAAAATTACAAAGTTTCTAAATTAATAATAATTAAATTATTTCACAACGTATATTAGGTTTCAAAATATAAAAAGCTAATATTTACACTTATACAATGATGCAGTTATCATATTGCAAAGATCTTAAATATAATATAAACAAATGTATCTCATTCAAATGTGCAAATTATTCTAATAGCAGAGTTATGTAGATTATGAAAGAAAAATTGAACAGTAGAGACTTTCTCTGAGAATGAAAAATCGAAATTATTTTTTTTCTGATTAGTACGTCAATGTTTCATTTTCAAACAAAGATAATTCTATTGTAATAAATTTTCGTCGTTATAAATTAGAAATCATTGCTATATATGTTTTGATATAAAAAATAAATGTTGCCTTTATTTAATAATAATTTAGCCATTACATTATGAAATTAAATTATTTCGTACATACCAAAATTTTAAAAACATATTGATTCATAATAGGAAATAAATAAAATTGCATTAGGAAATAACTGTTGCTTAAATATTTCAAAACAATTATTTTACAGGATTTTCCTTTTCCAATATAATTGAAGTAAAAATCATATTTAATATCTTTCAATGTTTTATTTGTAAAATAAATTATATAGTAATAGTTCTACCATTATAGCAATAGTAATATAGTTATAATAAGCAGAGTAATTGCATTAAAATTTATTCAATCACTTAATAAATATTAATTTAACATTTAAATGAAAAAATATATAAATAACATGCGAAAATTAATTAATACATTGTAATTAAGATCATTTCCATTTCATCTAGAAGAAAATTTATATAAAAAACATATTATTCTAAAATATCAATTTGAATATTAAAAATAATTGCAAAATTATTTCAAGTTTCTTATTGGGCTTGAATAAATTAATATTTTATCATTTTTTCTACTACTTGTCTGGTACTTGTTTGAATGTCTTCTATTACTCAAATTTGAAATTCCGCACATTTGCCAAAGCCAATAAGATTAGACTTTTCTTGTTAAACAGTCCGACACTATGCGACTTTCTTTCTTTCTAACATAACCTTACTTAACATTATAGTTAAAGACAGTTGTTAGTGATTAATGTGTACAGTGTGCATCTTTTAATGTGTTTTTATGCTTCTTGTATGCTTGGCTCTTAACAAAGTATTACGAAGTAAATATAAGTGCAATGGCTAATCCATTGATTAATGCACCAGTTTCTGAAATATTGAAAAATGCCAGTACATTTGAAGATGAGCCAAGAAAAAAGAGCCGAGAAGACTGGCGTAAGGCAAAAGAACTTGAAGAGGCTAGAAAAGCTGGTACTGCACCAGCGGCTGTGGACGAAGAGGGAAAAGATATTAATCCTCACATTCCCCAATATATTAGCGCAACGCCCTGGTATTTTGGAGCACACGTAAGTTATTGTTTATTACTATGTAACATAATAGAATAGTAAGCAGTCGAGGCTAGTTGAAACATTATAGAAATTTGTATATAAATGGTTATTTCAGACCTTAGTAACTTTGTTTATATGAAAATTATATATCTTAATTGTTGTATTTATGATTATTAAATTATAATTTTAATGCATTATCACGTCATTAATATGTGAAATATATTTATATAAAGAATGTGGATAATCATAGCATGATTCCTCTAACAAATTAATATTAATATATTGTAAGGTGATTTAGTAGGCAAAATTTAGTTTACTTTAAGAATATTTATTCTTACAACTATCATAAATTTGAATCGATTTCATTTAAAAGGGGCCAACACTTAAGCATCAAAGACCTCAACCTGAGAAACAAAAACAGTTTAGTGAAATCGATCAGTGGTATAACAGAGGCCAAACGAATAAAGTAGCGTCAAAGTGGCGTAAAGGAGCTTGCGAAAATTGTGGCGCTATGGGACATCAAAGAAAAGACTGTTTTGAAAGACCAAGAAAAACATTAGCAAAATATACTAACTTTAATATTGCACCAGATGAATTTATACAACCTAATTTATCACTGGATTATGATGGCAAACGTGATAGGTAAATTCTATTTTAATTATGTTTTTATTACCAAAACAATTATTCTAAAATTACTAAGAAAATCGATAAAAATTTTTAAAATAATGAGGACAACGAAGATTTTTATGCTACTGATTTGTAATTTAGATGGGCTGGTTACGATCCATCTGAACATCGAGCTATCATAGAAGAGTATCAAAAGGTTGAAGAAGCCAAAAAACAATTACGTGCTGAAAAACTAAATGCTAAAGAAGAAGAAGACGAGCAAGACTCTGATGCTGACGAAGATAAATATGTAGATGAAGTTGATATGCCTGGAACAAAGGTTGACAGTAAACAACGTATTACTGTCAGAAATTTGAGAATAAGAGAAGATACAGCAAAGTATCTGAGAAATTTGGATCCAAATTCTGCATACTATGATCCGAAAACTCGATCAATGAGAGATAATCCATATGCTGGTACAGATAGAGAGTAAGTATTAATAATATAAAATTGTAATAGTAATATAATATTTTCAAATTTTAATAATCAATTTCTTATTTTATTTTGTAATGAGATTTCAAATTATTAATAGAAAAGAATTTTAACTTAGAGCTTTATATTTCAACATTTAGAAAATTATATTACAAGTTTTGAATTGATTTATTAATGTTGTGCTAATTCTCAGCACGATATTAAATAATACTAAATACTAATTTAAAATTTAATAATTTTCAATTATCCATCCTTATATAATATTGTTATTTTTTCATTCTAACTTTAATATAAATCTTATAAAAATTACTGAGTTTTTTAAGTAAAACTGATGCGTTTAGACATAAAATATTTCAAATTACCCATAGAAAAACTAGCGCATTATTACAAGTTTTCTAAATATCAAATAATTATAAATTTTTTAGAGTTGACTATAAAGGTGAAAATTCTGCACGATTTACTGGAGATACTCGGGAACACGCAAATGCTCAATTATTTGCATGGGATGCACACGATAAAGGAGTTACTGTTCATTTATTAGCAGAACCAACAAAAGTGGAGCTTTTGAAACAAGAATTTGATAAAAAACGAGAAGAACTGAAAAATGAAGCTCGTGGTACTGTTATTGAAAAATATGGTGGTAAAGAGCATTTTAATGCTCCACCAGCAGCTCTTTTATTAGCACAAACTGAAGAATATGTAGAATATTCACGCACAGGAAATGTAAGTTTTTATAAAAACATCTTAAGATTGCATTATGAAAAAATATAACTATTGTTATAAATATTGAAAATTTTCAGATTATTAAAGGTCAGGAAAGGCAAATCATTCGATCTAGGTATGAAGAAGATGTATATATAAATAATCACACGTCTGTATTTGGTTCACATTGGCATGAAGGCCAGTGGGGTTATAAATGCTGTCATTCCTTTATAAAAAATTCTTACTGCTGTGGTGAAGCTGGAAAACGAGCCATGAACGAGGCAGAAGAACTTAATAAAGGAAATGCTTATAGCGAAGAACACTACGCAAGAAATCTAGAAATATTTAGCAAGGACGCAACTCATAGAGCAATAACTGAACAAATGAATGTATCTACAGTAAGTGTTCAAAGTAATTCGGACAGTAACTCTGTAAGTGATTTATCAAGTGATTCGTCTGATGAAGATGTAAGATTAGACATTGATCGTAAGTCCAAAAAGGAGAAAAGAAAAAATAAAAAGCAAAAACAAAAGGAAAAGAAAAAGAATCAAAGAAAGATGAATAAAGAAGCTAAAAAAGAAGATAAATTAAAAGAAGCTCTCAGAAAAGAAGAAGAAAATCAAAAAGATGCGGAAAGGCTATTAAAATTAGATGAAAGGAAACGACCTTATAATAGTATGTACAATGTAAAAGAACTTACTGAAGAAGAAAAAGAAGCTTTCCAGATGAAGCGTATTAGAGAAGAAGATCCTATGACTCAATTCATGTCTAAATAAATGTAATGATCATTATGATCTAAAAAGCAACATTGTAATATATTGTAATTACTTAATATTTTATTAATTAATTGTTTAAATTGATTTAAACGATAAAATATACTTTGTTAAATAAGCATTGGTAGTTGATTGATGTCACAAAAAAATAATGAAAAAATTTTAATTGAAAAAATAAGTACATAATTTATAGTTTTATACTAAATTACTTGACATTTATGTAATAACTTTATAAATTTATAATTTCATGTACAAATTTTAATGAAATAGTTCATAAAAACTTCAATATTATTAATTTATAATAATTAAATATTATAAATATAGTATTATTTGTATATTTATATATGAATATAAAATAAAGAATATGTATAATATGAATTTTATGCCTTTTCATTTTGTTTAATGTATAGATTATTTACAAAGTAATATATTGTTAAAATATAATGAAAAGTGCTATATAAACTGAATTTATCTTCAATCATTTTATTTTATATATTTCCTTAAATCAGAATATTAAATTTTAATTGCATAAAAAATTTATATTTATTTAATAATAATAAAATTTTAATTTTAAGACTAAATCATCAATTATACTTATTAAAACTTTAGTTTAACATTGTATAACATGCAAATTCACATATGCATGTGTATATATAAATATATATATATATGTATATATATAATTCAAAAAATTAAAACATTAAATTATAAATAAATTAGAATATATATTATAATTGACAAAGATATATTTATTAAAGTCTTCAGAAACGTCATCTGTTGTCTTACATAAACAACTTACTTATATACTTATAATAATTATCACCAATCGCGTATCTTCTTCTGACTTACAGATGTAAGAATTCTTAAATATTTTTCTTTCTTCTTAAATGACATCTGTTTATGACTAGTAAACGATTTGCAATAAACAAACATTCTTCCACGTCTTGTAACGATAGTACAATCTTTACAATAACGTTTCAATAAACCTTTTTGTTTTATTCCACAAAATTGATAAAATTGAGGTGACACTGGTGTAAGTAAATTTATAGGCTTAATATCACTGTTTATAGTTGCTCTTAAAATATATTTAGTACATATTTGATGAATTCCTCTGATATTATCAAATTGAAATTTATTTAATGTTATAAGCTCTTTAAAGCATTGACTTATTCTTCCATGAAAACTTCTAAATATTGTAAAATTCATTTTACTGGAAAAATTTATATAGTATATTGAATTTTATAATCTTAAGGCTTTCAATAAATAACACTAACAATAGTAAATATACACAATTTTAGTATTGTAATTATATAAAAATTAAAAAAAAAAAAGCAAAAAAAATATATTTTAATTATAAATATATATTCTAAAGATAGTTAATTTATGAAAATATAAAAATAGTTATTATAAAATAATAAATAATTTGCATTCTAACCTCTAGTGAATTCTCTCTTCCAAATCAGTTAACAATATCTAATTATTACAATAATTATTTACAAACAATCTAAACTTATATAACAAAACACTTAGTTAATTGTAAGTCTCAACCTTCAGTTAATAATAAATTTTAATATATTGGAAATTTTTCATCTCTTTCTTATAAATGAAATGGCGAATGATAGGTTAGACCTACTACTACATATTTAAAAAGGTTAGATTTTTAAAGTGCAAATGTGTATTAGAAAATCGCAAACCGAAGGGATCACAACTTCCAGGTCTCGGCTGTAAATTTAATTTCCCGAGATTTATTAACAATTGATTTATCAATTAAAATATAAGACTTTTGAAAGACTGTTATTAAAATATAAAATATGTTACGGAATATTCGAAATTTATTGCAGCTAAACGTAAGTTTATTTTTATTAAAATATTGTAAAATAATATAAAACGTAAAAACAATGAAATATGTTTATTCGATATAATCTGATACTAAATATAATATTTATACTCTATAAAATAATTTTCGTATTTTCACAACATTAAATTATATTTAGCTATTCAGTTTTCTTTTTACAAAATTATTTGCATATTTGTTTCAATTATATTTAGCTGTTCTATTTTTTGATTATATTTTTTCAACAGATCTCAATAAAAAAATCCAACTCTAGAGCTCTAAATTTGGTGCCAATTGTAGTCGAACAAACTGGAAGAGGTGAACGATCTTATGATATTTATTCTCGATTGCTGAAAGAAAGAATCATATGTTTAATGGGTCCAGTAAGAATCATTTTATAATTATTCAAATTTTTAAACAATTAGACAATAAATACGATATTTTGTAAAAACTTATTTCTTAATTTATTGCTAGTTAGATAAAATATATTTTTTATTTATTTTCATTTAGTTAGAATATTAAAGAATGTACTACATTATATAGGCATTAGTAGAAAACATTAAATTAACTTAATTAGTTTTAATAAACTATAAATATTTTGGTGTAATGTGAAAGTAAATATTAATATAAATAATTATTTTATTTTAGATAACAGATGACGTTTCATCCTTAGTTGTTGCCCAATTACTTTTTCTTCAATCAGAGAGCAGTAAAAAACCAATTCACTTATATATAAATTCTCCAGGAGGTGTTGTCACAGCTGGTCTTGGCATTTACGATACAATGCAATATGTACTTCCGCCAGTCGCGACATGGTGTGTCGGGCAGGCTTGTTCAATGGCAAGTCTGCTTCTTACAGCTGGTGCGCCAGGTATGCGACATGCATTGCCAAATGCTAGAATAATGATTCATCAACCATCTGGTGGTGTTCATGGTCAAGCAACTGATATTAGAATACAAGCTGATGAAATTCTTAAACTCAAAAATCAAATAAACATTTTGTACGCCAAACATACTGGAAATGAAGTTAAAACAATAGGTATGAATTTTATATGATTTATCTATACTTAATTATCAATAGTTAAATCAGTATGCTGAGCTATCAATATACTGAGGAAAAACAACTTTAAATAGAAATATTTTTTATTGCAATAGCTTTATTATTATTTATTGCTTTATTGAGATTTTGGATTAATTTTATATAGTTTCACTTTTGTAAAATTTCAAGGTTATATAAATTTTGAAAATAATTCTTTTCTTTCCGATTACTCTGTTATTCAATATTTGTTTCTATTTTTACTTTTATTTTCTCAGAAATTACATAAATTTCATCTTTTATTTTGCTGAGAACAAGTTACCAAATACAATTTAAAATTATAATATGCTTTAATTAGATATTTTATTAATTTATTGAAGTGAAAAATTTTAATTTTGTACTTAATATAAATTGTAGAATGTAATATGGAAAGGGATAAGTTTATGAGCCCAATGGAAGCCAAAAAATTTGGAATAATTGATAAAGTCTTGGAGCATCCTTTACAAGAACCTGAGCAGACAAGTTCGGACAAATCAGCGAGTAATAAAATATAAGTGCAAAGCACGAAACGACTGTCGACTATATTCAAGGACATTAAGTTAAAAATAAGATGTTTTCATATATTGTTATAAATTATTTTTATTAATTTTTATTTAATAATATATTATTAACATAATTGTATAAAATATATTCTGTTTAATTGAAGTTTAAAAATATTTATTGACTGTTTTAAAATACTCTACATTGTAAGACAAAATTGTAAAAAAGAAAGAGAGAGAGAAGGGAGAATTGCGATCTTGATAATAGAATTAGCATGTACATATTATAGTTTTTTGCCACTAATAATATAATTATAAAGCCTTCTATACTAAAATATAATATAATATAATAAAATAAACAAGAAAATCAATACAGTTTATTTTTGAAAAAATATTGAATTAAGTATACATTTTTATATACTAGATGCAATTTACTATTTGTAATTTCACATAGAAATTTAACTTAAAAATAATTAAACTAATTATATCAATCATTTTTAATTATAAAATTCTAAACATTAAACGAAGCATTTTAAAGTAAGTGATAAAATATTTTGATTATTAATTCATCTTACAATAATAACAATAATCATATAATTTACATGATACAAGTTTCAAAATGCTGATTTAATTGTAAGTATCTCAGATAATAGCGATATTTTTAAAATAAATTTAAAATTGACAAATATTCAATTACATTGCAATGGTTAGTAGTAATAATTTCTTTTTTTTCTTTTCATTTTTTTTTTATAACAACATCCTAGTACGATAGAATAATTCTTTATAATTTTATAAAATTAACCTATTCGTAATATTGACACCTTTTCATTATAAAATTAGAAACAAATTATTAAATTTTGTTTAATTCTAAATAACAATCGTAAACTTTATTTTCCTTTTAATACATTTTTTCAAAAAAAAAAAAAAAAAAAAAAAAAAAAAATTTTTTTTATTTTATTCAAGTTTAGTACGAAGTTATTTTACATTAATTATTAATAACATAATAAAATATAATTGCTATTATTCCTAACACAATCAAATCTATATATAATTTAATTCAATGCAATTAATTTTCAATATTGTACTACACGAAATCTTTATGGCTTTATAGATGAAAATTTTAATTCTGTTGAGGATTATTAATTATTAATATAAAACAACGAAATGTAAACAATTAGTAACGAAAGGATCGATTATACACAACCTCAGTTTTTTTTTTTAATTTAAAATTCAACTACTGGTCATATAATATTGTTATAAATCATTAATAACTGGATGGTTACTTTCTTTTTGAACTTTTAGAATTCGAATAAATAAATATTATATAACAGGCTTACGTAATTGAAATTTTCAATATCACAAGTCATTTATAAAAATTTTCTTTCGTATAAATGCATAGCTAAACTGTCGGTTCTTTTTAAAATATTGTTGCACAATAAACTAAATCCAAAGATTTATAGTACTGAGATCAAAAGAGAACCTTGAAACATCGACGTTTCATCTCAATCAGCAAGAAAATCGACATTTCTCGTATTATCAACCCCCGTAGTCATCTTTAAGCAATCTTTAAGTCAAGTAAAGCTGAAAAAATAGAGCCTTAATCCTGTCTCCTTATCATTGCGGGCAAACTTGGGCATGGGCCAGCATCAATATGTCCTTCTTTTCCTTAGGGAAGCGCAGCTCGCGTCCTGCCAACCTCGCCGTCTCCAATTCTCGATCGGCTAAAGCGAGTTCCATGGCGACGACTCCGCCGCCGCTCTCATGCTCCCGAGCTACCCAATCGAGGGCCATCTGACTGCGCATGTCGTCGTCGAGGGCTCGGTGACTGTAATGAGCCACGACTTCTTGGCGGCTACATTGGCGCTCGCGCATCGCCTTCAAGGAGCCGTTCCAGTGCAACAGTTGGAATACCGTCATGAGCTCCTGGAACTCGAGCATCGTCCGGCCGCGATTGCATTCTAGCATAAAGCGGAACGCACCGATTCCAGTGTTCGGATCCTCTTTGTCATCGCCTTTGCCCTGACAAATTATTGATTCACGCAATTGCATTATCGCTCACGAATGGTAATCCCAACGAAATTGTTTTTCCATTAAAAATTCTTACGTGTATTCTTACATGTTTGTAAGAAAAACGATGGATTTGTTTTAAAAATATTCTTAGATTAAACATATTTGTAAAAATGATTGAAATATCTTTTATTCTTTGATTTTTTTTTCTTAAGAAAGAGGAAGAACAACAACATTTACAAACAGAATTATATTTATTTAAAAATCAATCTCTATTCCAAACAATTTATCAAATTACTTTTGAGCCAAATGGTATCTCTATCTCTCTCTCTCTCTCTCTCTCTCTCTGTCTTTTTTAAAAAACCAAATAAAAAACAACGGAAATAAGAATTCTCAAGCTTTTAAATTAAAAAATGGAAACTAATTGATTCAACATGTCATCTAGAATACAATTTTATATTACTTTTTTTCTAATATTAATTCTAAATGAAATTCCAATTAATGAAGTTATATGCTGAGGTATCGTTTTAAAAATTTTTAATGGATTTTTATAAATGCCTAGGAATAAATGGTGTATTATTTTAAAATACCAGCAGATATTAATTACAATATTTATCTTCACTGCTTAAAAAATTTAGTAAAATAACCATTTTTTTTTTATCTTGGCAAATAAATTTAAAAAACAATCAAGTTTTACAAAGAAACTTTAAACTATCTAAGTACAATTGATAAAAAATTATTTTTATAATAAATATTACATCATAATTCATTTACATATATTTATAAACTATTTGCAGAAATATTAATTTAAAACTTCTATATTTGTAAATTTGTATTTTATATAATTAATAGTCATAATAATTATTAAGAAAATTTTAATAAAATAAAATGCCAGAGTTTAAAAATTTAGAAATATATTTAATCAGCGTTATTAAGATAAATCATTTATAATTGGCATGTACCAGTTTCTTAATAATACTAATAATAAATATAATGTAACTCTAATATCTTAAAACTTATTAATACCTGAGATTGGTTGTTTATTCCACTAGGTCCAACGGATGGTTTAGAAAAACTAGCTCTCGCTTCAGCGACAGCTTTTTCTATGAAATCATCGGTAATTTTGCGTGATGGATGCTCATTAAATACAGAATTCATAAGGGCGATTTTAGCTGCAGATCTACGAGCTTCTGCTTTAGTTGGACAATTTTGAAAACTTCCAAAGCATGAGCCACCTGGCAAAGTTACGTAACAAATATATGGTGGACTCGCACCTGGTACAGATTCATATATTACAAGTGCTCCGTTTCGTAATTCAGTGCCTCGACTTTGCTTCATCTGCCAGAATTCTTGTAAAGCTTCTACGACATTAACTGGAAAAAAATATACATTTAGTATATCTTTGGTCGATTTTATCGCTTCATGTATCACAGTAATGTATCACATACCTCTTCCATAACCTTGAGTATGTTTAGCAAAGCTATTAACAACTGCGTCAACAGCCTCTTTAAGCACTTGTTTTGCTCTTGCATCAACCATCCCTCCAGTGACTCCTATATTCTCTAATCTCGATTTTGTTTTTACTGGCATTATGCCCTGCATTACCAATAACAGATTCCTGACATCGACACTGAAAATATTATAAAATACAATTCATTAAAATAAATTATTAAAATATTGTATTAAGAGAATATGTTTTAAGAGAAGAGGCTCTAAATTGAAACATTATATTATTAAAAGAAATATTTATGAACTTCATTGACAATTATGTATTATAAGTATAATATTATCATTAATGTCAAAATCATCACTGCTTTAGTATCTGACTTATAAGTCAAAAAGAAATTATTTATAATGTAATAATACTATAATTTATAATATCATAAAATTCATATTTATTAAATAGCGACTAACGAATGTTAGTAACGAAATAGATTTGCTACCTATTTTCATATTAAATCAATTGGATTTATAACTTTATCACTCAAATTATATAAAATATTGATAGGTAGCCTACAACAAAAGAAATTAATGTAATAATTACTATGTTTATTATGTTGATACCATTTTATTGCTATTAGGGCTAAATATAACTCGACTCTATCATCCTTAAACGTTATTTGTTGAAATAACGTGGCATGGAAGGATTTGTCGTTTATGATTTGTAAAATGAGCTTTGACATATAGCATTTAAGCATTTAAAAATGGATATTCACAAAATATCATATAAAACTTTATAAGTTTTTATTTATATAATAAACGAGTGGCTTATATGTTACAAAAATCAAGAGTACGGATGAATAATTTCATAAGAAAAAACTCACCTCTCCAACCACACAAATTTTAATGAGAAAAATTCCCGTGTTGTTGAGCCGCCGATACCTTAGTTTTGTCTCCACCTGGGAAATAAAATCTATAGCCCGAGCCCCAACAACGCACGATCACTGCTTTTAGTACACGCGAACAGAAAATAAAATAAAGTGCATTCCAAAAGTTGCTGTTCGGTACAAAAAAAAAAAAAAAAACCGCCACGCCTGATGAAGGAACGATTCTTTACCGATTCCCGCACACTGTATCTTTGTCTCACCACACTGTCTCTCTCTCTCTCACACACTCTCGCACTCTCTCTGTATCAACTATACTTCAAACAACCGTGCGTATACATATAATATATACTAAGGGTTTTATTGTGGTCCGTCCGTCGTCATTCTTACTTCGTATTCTATCTCAAACACACACCTAAGCACGTTCAAACGTGTTCTCCGATGTGTATTGTCTCTCTCTCTCTCTCTCCCTTCTCCCTTCTCCCTTCTCCCTTCTCCCTTCTCCCTTTACAGTTCACCATCTCTTTTCTTTTCTTTTCTTCTCTCTACCGAATGGATAGATAAGCCAACAGTCAGATCGTCTCTGTAGGGGTTCGCGAGCGCGCGTGTATGAGCACGCACCTGAGTACGTACGGTCAAATGTTAGTGAGAGAGAGAGAGAGAGAGAGGGAGGAAGATGTTGGAGACACTTTCCTTGGGATCCCGAGGCTCGTGCACTTTTCAGGTGGAAGAAAAAGAAAGGGTATTATGTACGTGCATGCTTGCACATGCAGTCCTCCTTCTATATGTATTGTAAGGATGGGAGTTATCAAAATTGAGCCTGTAGTCTCAGGAATTCATACAAATTGCCTTTCGAACTCGCTCTCTCTCTCTCTCACTCTCTCTCTCTCTCTCTCACTCTCTCTCTCTCTCTCTCTCTCTCTCTCTCTCTCTCTCTCTCCCCTCATCTTTTTATCCCTTTCGTACATAAGAAAAAAGAAAGAGACGACTGGTTAAAGAGAGTAGAAGAGAAAGAGAGAGAACGAGAAGAGCGAAGCAGAAAAGGAGCAATAGGAGTCGAACAGGATCAAATTGCAAGACACATAACGATGTTTAATGTCCGCGGGCCACTGAGAATTTCCAGAAAACCAGGGCCGTATAGGCTCAATTTTACGCTATAAAAACATCCGATTATATATTCACAACAAAATTTTCTCATAATCGACAAATATGCTAATATGTTTATACTATTTTAACATTAAGTTTTTGTAAAGACAAAAACATATTTTATTCTAATTAGATGTCATTCCTTGTTTATTATGCAATATTTAAAATATTTTTATATGCTTTTTATAAGAAAACAAAATATAAAATTAAGTAATAAATGGTACGTTCATTTCATTTTAAAACAATTAATATATATGAAGAAAGTGAATATATCTTTTGATTTCTTTTTCTTAATTAGCTTATTGTACTGGATTTAGAGATAAAAATATTTATCGTATAATTCAATAAATTTAAAGAATAGATTCATTTTTTTTTTTATCTAATATTGAATAATGATGTATGCACAATTATATGTGTAATAGTCCATTTACACGATAAATTGCACAAATTACTATTTTTCTATCATTAAGTTTTCAATACTTTGTTATTTATTAAAATATTACCAGTCATTGTTTAATTAAGATGTACATTTTAAAATTAATTTAACTACTTTTTTTTTTGTTTTTAAGAAAAGACCTAACTTTATATATAATTCTAAATAAAGCAATTAAAAAGCAATTAAACATTATACCATTTATTATTAGTTTATTATGCATTCAAAATTATATTTCATTTATATTGTGAATTTATAATTCTTGCATCCTTGTACCAAATATTGTTCCTTATTATTTTAAATGGCTAAAAATTCATTTGTTTACATTGTTATCAATAATAAAATTAAGTCATTCTATCAATCGCTGTATGTTAAATTTATATAATTGTTATTTCAAATTCAATGATTGATTAAAATAATTATGATTTCAATTTCTTTAGGTTCAAGATACAGTTGTTGATGAAATTCACTTAATTTAAAAGAAAATGCAATATAAATGTATTTATGATGTGTTTATTCTATATCTTACGATTCTTACTTTCCTTACGATCTATTATACATATTTCTTATCTTTCATGGGTTCTTTATTGTTATCAAGGTCACCGTAATTTTTGAAATACATATTATTAACGCGTTGTCGCATCATTGCATCGATGGTCATATTCTGTCAATTTCTTACACAATGATGTCAAAAATAAAAATATTTTCAAGCGCTCTGGAAAATCTGGTTTAAAGAGGGACTGGAACGAGCTTGTCCCTCTGGATTTTTAATGGGCTCCGTTGATTGGCCGCTGTAACCCATGAATACGTATATACCATTTTTGCAACTAATGAACTCTTGGTAATCATTGGCTACTTGTGATAAAAGTTATTGAACACCGTTCGACAATCTCGTTATTATTCTTCGACCATTTTCAAAATGCTATTCAAATATTTCAAACTTCTTAAATGGCTATATTGGGCAATGGAGTCGATTCGGGAAAATCTATATTTTTTACACTTTCCTTCGACCTAGACAAACATTGGTTCTCTCGAGAGTAGGGCGAATTAATATGACAAATGACATTCTCTAAGAAATGTAATAAATGTCATCGACTTACTGTTTGCCGACATATCTCATCATCGCTCACAGTATCTTTTATGGTACATACTCAACATAATTTGCACTTACTCGCCAATTAATTCCTTTACACTTGCATATTATGTATTACGTACGAATATACGCTTGTATTGGTAAGTTTTACATATTGATCCAAACTTCCACATACGAATATGCTCCCATGCATTATTATACCAATATTTATATCTTTCGTGCAGAACGTGTACCACATTCTCGTTATGACACGAATTTTGTGAACACGTCTATTATCACCAGTGTATGCTTATTTCTTTAGATCTTTCTTTTCATTTAAAATTATGGTCCTATCAGAAAGTTACGATAACGCATGCCGATTTAACTCTTATGACGTCATATACCTGCTTCGTTCATACGCATTTTTCGTTCATTTCATACGCATAACCCACCATCTCACGAGTAATGTGAGTTTTTTTTCCTGTTTTTCCAATCAAAGATTATACTGGCTCTCATTGACTTCGAAACCTTCCGTCTGTAGCTACTGTAGAGGATTGTAGTGTACTGTTTGAGGGAATTTGGCAATCTCTCAAAGCAAAATATCGACATAAACCTTAATTTTGCAGTTTAATTTAGTTATTTCCTCACTGAGTTTAACACATACCTTGTTTCTTTCGACTAGAAGGTAAAACTAACTTTATTTTGACATGAAGAATGTTATTAAGGGCATTTGTACTTCTAAATGAATTGTTGAAAGTTTTCGATTAAATTTAAGAATAGTTGGGCTTATTTCGTTATCAGTAGTTTAGGTAAATTATGAGGACTGCTATACCTTTAACGGAAAAGCCTGATTTTTCTGTTTCCTATGTTATTTTTCAGAAACCCGATCCAAATCTGCATCAATTGACTTTCTCCTTAATTGATCTTAAGTTTGATACGCAGACCACGCCAGAGACTACGTTCAGATTGAGATTAACTAATCCGTCAAGCCAATCCCCAGCTTATAAATTATCTAGGTTTTTTGTACAATAATTAAATTCGCTTCATAGGATGTGTCAATATATTTAAATTTTATTCTCATAATAGTCTATAAAAAAAAAAAAAACCAAAAAAAACCAAAAAAAAACAAAAAAAAACACACACACACACAACAATAACTATAGAATGATATAAAACTCGAGAAAAAAAATATTTTTTGCAGCAATTACACCTTTTCGAAAGACTACTAGTTTTAGCATCAATTATTTGTGATGAGAAATTTTCCGTATATTTCTATATATCAGTTTGCATAAAATCAAATAATTGTAATTGTATAAAAAAAAAAAAACTTCGGCTCCTTATGTTTTTGAGATTATAAACAACAGGTACTCGCATGCACTTAAATCTTCAGCATTTAATAAAAATAAAAATATTTCCCTGCCCACGTATTAATTCAACAATAAAGTCGAAAAAATATCACTGTCAATTATTATTACAAAATTTTATTAATCATTAGTAGTTTATAAATCAACTTTATTAAATGATACACGCGCGCGCCTATACATATATTAATTATTTTCTATGAATTATATTTCAAATATCATATTTTATTGCGAAATACTGTTAATATATTTCTATATTTTTGATTTCATTTAATTTAATTTTCTATATATTTTAATTAATTTTAAAATATTCAAAATAAGCTTTAACATGAAATATGTTAACTGTATCATTACCATATAATTTGGAAGCTTGTAGTCGATGAAAACATACTTACTTCCAACTTTCTCATCTTTCTATTGCGATGACACAATAATAGCGCCATGCATACATTTCATTATCTCGTTGATTTTATAGATCACCTTTAATGTTAATAATTATGCTTTATGACAAGTGATAATTGATTTTTAGGAGAATTTCTATTTAGACAGATGTCTTTTTCCCAAATGCTTGAGCGCAGCTTTAACCTGCTAAGCTAAGCTGTATCTCTTCTCCACTTCATTATATAATGAAATTTAAAATATCTGATCACGAGCTCTCGCCTTTATATACAATTCCCCAGAGTACTACATGTAAAAATAAATAAAACTTTTGTTTATTTAATAATTTAACCTATTAATTTTTTTTCTAAACATTATTTTTAATTTTCTTATTAACACTAAAAAAATGCCTAAACCATTTAATACAGAATATAAAAGAGTATAAAAATTTCATAATATTTAATAGATGACACAATGAAGTAAAAAAAAAAACCTAGGAATGAAAAAGCGATCGCACCTTGGAAAACTCCACCTTTATAAATTACTCCAGTCAAAATCTAATGCACTTTTCCTTGGGATCTTCCGAGATATTCGATTAAGATAATTAATAGAATTACGATAGGCGCATTAGAGTTTCCAGGCACTTTAAATTCCTTTTCTAGGTAACTATTTAAATACTCCAAGTATCTGCTAAACCAAAGTTTAAAAAACGATTAGATTGACAATAACATTTAATTTTAAACAATCATCTCAATAATTTAATAAACTCTGGTTTATCTAACAGACTATCATGTTTTAATTATAATTTTATAATTTAAAACATTTGTAATAATTAGTTTATTTGTGCTGTGTGTTTGGCTAAAATTGACTGATTTAGTACTTAAAGAA